TCATGGCCGGGACTGGCTGACAGCGCCTGGCTCCACCCCCAGCCCTGGCCACGCCCCCAGATGGATGACCCCCCGCCCCAGGAGGGGCATCCATCCCGGGATTGGCCACGCCCCTTGTGAAGCCACGCCCACATGAGTTGACCGCGGCCCGCCCCGTACACCCGAGTAGAACCCCGGGATTCTAGGCTTCTGGTTCCGCCCCCGAAGGGTTGGCCACTCCCACCCCGAGGATTCCAGGCTCCTGGCCCCACCTCTACTGGAGCCCTGCCCCCCGTGGCCACGCCCACCCTAGCGCAGGGCACGAGGTGAGGGCAGCCCCGCCCACCCCCAGCTGGCTCCTCCTACATTGGGGCGCTGCCCCCCAGGACCCTGGGCTCTCCAGAAGGGCACAGCCCTGGCACGTCGCCCTGCTCCCGTCCCCTTGGCGCTGGGGGTTTGCACTCTGGACCCCTCCGTGGCCACATCACCGCCCGGGGACTTTGCCCTCGGTCCCTGGCCCCCAAGGCATGGCGCCTTGCCGTGACCGGGAGACAGAGCTGGGGCAGGACAGGGGACCCAGCAGTCCTGGCATCCAAGCCCATCTTCTTACCTGGGCACAGCACCCAGGAGTTGGGGCCCAGCTGACTCCAACGGCTACCCCCCACCCCTCATCTGTGGGCCAGGGAACCCAGGAGTCCGGCCCCGGGTTCTCTTCAGCCCCAGCCCAGAGACCCCGGGCTGCCCCCAACCTCCAGCACCCCCTCTAAGCAACAGCCTCTGCTCCCAGGTCCAGCCAGAGAACCCAGGCGGCCGGCCTCCTCCCGCCGGGGCCAGGCAGACGACTCAGGCGTCCGGCAGCGAACAAAGCGGACGGCGCTGGGGGTCTCAGGCATTTATTTACCGCCCCACAGCCGTCATGCCCCCGTGCCCCGCAGGGCACCCACGGCTGGGCCCTCACTTCCCCCAGTGGGGCCGTGGGCCTGGGAGGTCACGGGGCCCAGACAGTGCCCCTACAGGGAGCAGAGCATCATGGGAAGAGTTGGGGGTGGGCAGTGGGGGGGATGGAGGTCTGGGTGGGAAGATGGAGGGATGGGTGCGGTAGGGGATGGATGGAGGGATGCAGTTAGACACGGATGGATGGATGGGGCAGGGACACGAGGGCTGAACCAGCGGATGGGCGGATGGATACAAGGGGGAAAAGCTGGGAGGAAGAGTGCATGGCCCGAGGGGGGACGGAGGGAGAGATGGACGAGGGAGCGAGTGGGTGAAGGAGGCAGGTCGGTGCAGGAGGGAGGGCTGGCTGGGCGCAGCGAGGACAGAGGAGGGGATGGCAGGATGGACACACTGTGCCCACGGGGTGGGGAGGGGGGAAGATCTGTGTGCTTCTAGGATGGGGCGGACAGTGGATGGACGGACAGACGCGCCATGCCGAAGCGGGGGTCGAGCTCTGGGCGCTGACTGGGGCAGGCTGCCAGGGATGGGCAGGTGGCTGCAGGGCGCTCGGCAGGACGGGTGGGGGCTCCGGTCTGTCTCCTCCACCCGGGCAGGGCAGGGTGGGGCCAGGGCTGCCCCGGCCTCCTGGGTCCCTCAGCAGGGCTCGGCGGGTGGGTGCAGTGTCACGCTGTGAAGGTTGGCCACCAGGCTCTCCCAGCCGCGGCGCAGGGACCGCCTCACCTGCTGGGGGATGAAGGGGGGGTCAATGCCTGCCGCCCCAATCCTGGGGCTGGGCAGGTCCTTTGCCCCCTCCAGGGGGTGCTGGCTTCAGCCCTTTCTCGATGAGGTGTTATACTTGGCCAGTCCCCACCCAGAGCTAGCTGCATTGAGGCTCCCAAGGGCATGAGGGCCTGAGCCCTTTCGAGGGTCCCAATCTGGCCCTGATCCTGGGGGGCAGTGGCTGGGGCAGGTACCTTTCCCCTCCTGTGGGGAAGGGGGGGCTAATCTCAGACCTCTCCTCTAGGCAGTGTTATACTTGGCTGTTCCCT